GAACTCAATGATCCTTTTGCCTCAGCCTCCCAAGTTCTGGAATTATAGGCGTACGCCACCATGCCTGGTTTAAGAGTCTGCTTGGTGTTAGATTACTGTGATTTTGATGAAGATGTGTCATGGAGTTCTTTTCCAGTTGTGACTATTTGGGGTTGTACATGCCTCATTTATCTGTGTGTTAAATTGTTTTCCCATATTTTGAAGGGTTTCTGCTATTCGTAATTTTTTCCCCTCAAATGCAATTTGTGCTGTCTTCTGATTTTTTTTTTTTTTGCTAATTCCAGTTAATCTGAGATAGTCTTCCTTGTGTCACTGAGCACTTACCCCATCCACTTTCCGTGTTCTCTTGTTGGCTTCCAGGCCCCTCTGGAGTATGGATGGTAACCTGCTCTGCTTTCTCGTTCTGACGCTGTTCTCATACTGGTCACATTCATTGTCACTGTTCGTTTCCTATTTTGTTTGGTCTCTTTTCATGGAGTCTGATTCTCTCCTAAACCAGTTTTGTACCATGTTGTTTACTTCACTTATCTTATTATTAGTAATAATAATAATTATTATTTTTGTAATAATAAAAAATTATTATTTTGTAAGCTCCCTGACCATTTTGTCTATGAAGTTCATTACCTATTATATCGTCATTGAGCTCTCTGAACACCTTATCCATCTGGGGTTTTTTGTTGCTTGCTTTTTGGTCTGTTTTGTCATGTATAATTCAGATGTTTGACTATGGGATTTTTGGAGGCATTTTGACACCTTGTTTGTTCATCTTTCTATTTTTTTGAGGGGTTAATTGTAGTGGGCAGAATGTTGCTAGATGGAGGTCTGCCTGGTCGGTCTCTGGCTTTCCGTAAAGCACTTTGGGCCTAGCAGACTACCTGCAGGCCGTTGCCTTTGTGCTGAGATCTGAGCACCTTCACTAATATATACAGAATGGGGCTGTGATTTGTGTGTCTCACGTCTGGGCAGCTCTGATTTGAATTCCATCATGTGGTGCTAACTGACCGCCAGTTGTTCAGGCTGGTGGGAATGTGTCAGTGTGGAGGGCAGATGCAGTGCACTGGGCCCAGCACCCAGTTCTTTGGGAATGGAGCACAGCAGCAGTGGAAGAAAGGCAGCTTCGATACTGACACACAGAGAACACCAGTTAATAGCAAGTACTGTACCACCTGGGCAGTGGCAACCGTAAGAGTGAAAGAGAAACTGGACTTGACGTACTTTCTTAGTTATTTGTTGCACTGCTGAGACAAAATACTGGGCTCTCACAAGTTAAAGAAGGAAAGGTTTATTTCATCTCACAATTATAGAGGTTTTAGTTCATAGTTGGCTGGCACCAAGGCAGGGCAGCGCCGCAGAGGGGCTGCAGTGGAGGGATGGTCTGTGGCAGGGGAGGCGAGGGCACCAGCCCGACTTCCTTCTGTCCCCTTAGGCTCCACCTAGGGTAGAAGCCTGATGACTTGTCCCGCTCACAGCCAGGGGAGGGCTTCCTGTCGGCCACATCCACAATAGTGCCAAACCAGTCAGTGGACGAACGCGGCCACCACACCCTTAATTGATGTTCACACACCATAGACACCCCGCTAAAAACCGCCCCTCTGAGCGCCTCAGGCTTTGGGAGGACATCGAGATCCAAGCCATGACATAGCATCAGAATCGGTGTGCCACCCCTGACCATAGAAAAAAAAGTGTTCTGTAATTACAGCATAAGCACTCGGACAAAGCAAATATGGACAGTCGGTAAATATCTACTAAGTACAACTATACTCTAAGAGGAGAAAAGAATTCTACCATAATAACATAGAAGTAACTCACGATTAAGAGATCTTGAGGTTTACACTAGTATAGAGGAGTGGGGGTTGAGAGTATGAAAAAAAAGTAAAATGTGAAAAAGAGAAAAGTGCAATAAAGGGTCCTATTAAGGAGTAAAAGGAAATTAATACGATTAAATAAAAGTAATGGGAAAGAATAGTCAAGAAAAACGAAAACAAAACACCCAAACAAAGAGAAAAAATCAAAAAGATATTAGAAGGAAAACCTCACGGGCCGGCCAGATAGCTCAGTGGACTAAAGCGCCTATTGAGGCAGGTGGCTGGCCTGGGTTTGGTCCCCGTGTGCTCTGCTGGCCCGCCCGGGGCGCACTGAGCTGGCGGAGGCGTGCGCATGGTGGTGGGTGCAGAGCCGCAGCCGCTCGCTGGTCTCCGTGTGGGGTATGTGCGGCAGAGGAGGGGCCTCACCGGCCTAGCATTTCACCGTGGATGGTGGCCCTGTGTCTCTCCTGGCCTGGACTTGAACTTGTCCCCGGGCTCTGTGTTCAGCCGGCGTCTCCTCCTAACGCCTGCCGGGCTGCCTTGTACAGTCCCCCTGGCAGAGTGATACGTGAAACCCAGGAGTGAAGTTGTTGTATACTTTGGTTCTCTTTCATGAACCCCGTAACCCAAGCGGCTGCTGCTGCAGCCTTCTCCAGCATCGCAGGTACTCCTGTCTGTCTTCTCCCACTCTAGCTTCCCGTGTGGTATGAATCAGTTGGGAATAAACCCTTTTTCTCTTGGATTACATCAGCCGCAAGTTTCTCTTGGCGCTCGCGCTGGCCCTGGTGTGCTCTTCCCTGGAGCTGCTGACCCTCCCTGCTTAATTTCTCTCACAGCCTACAGCACGCTGTGGTCAGGCCCGTCGGCAGGCCAGCTCTTCTGCTACCCTGGGCCAGGGGAACCTTGGTCAGGCATTTTCATCACCTGACAGTGTTTTCAAGCATTGCCCAGCCAGTGCATCTGTTTACGCACTTGTGCTGCTTGGGACAGGTGTCATTTCAGCCTTGGTTTGCAGCATGCACCCGTTTGGGAAGGGCCAGTGAGCCAGGTGGGGGCCAGGGCCAGCTGTGAGTGGCCGTCCCAGTGAGTACCCCAAAGCCCACGGGTTCCAGGGAGCTCAGGGCAGTGCTAAGCCAGCGGGTGTCGTGTCGTGAGGAAATCCTGGGGTGGTGAGTGAATGACAGCAGCAGAGTGAGAAGAGACCCCTAGTGAGGGTGCGGCAGGCCAGCGGGCAGAGAAGGGGTGCTCGCAGTGGGAAACAGGGTCCTGCACCCAAGCAATGGTGGCCAGCACGGGGAGGAGCCCGGAGGTTCCTTTCAGAGCAGACCAGAGAGCAGCGAGGAGACTTGACACACAAGGATTTTGTCCACATGGGACAGGAGGGCACATGGGACAGGAGGGCGGTAGGCACTGCTGGGTGGTGAGAGAGCCGCATAGCAGCGAAGGACAGCCAGCAAAGCGGACTCAGCCTGAAAGCTGGAAAGCAGGGTTTGGAGCCAGTGTGAGGCCCAGAGTACACTTCTATCGATAATGGTGATTCACGGTGATCTACATTTGTCTCATTTTTAAAAAGAAAGTTTAATACATAAAAACAAAAATTGTATGAACTAATGAGGTACTGTGATGACGTTTGATACATTATACACGGCGTCATGTTTGTCAAGTTGAACATGCTTACCTCCTCAAATATCATTCCTCAAAACTTCCAAAATCCTTTATGTTGTTGATGTCTCTTTGTTTAAAGGATGAAATTTGAAAGTGTGAACGGGTTTTCAGGCCAGTGGATGAGATGTGCCTCCCTTGGATTTTCTTTTTTTCAAAGTTTTATTGATAAACAGATAGCAATGAGACAGTTTCAAATCAAATCGGAAGTACAGTTTCAACAAATAACACACTGCATATATTTTTCTTAGTGGTTAATTGCTATACAAGATGCAGACTTGTGATCCTATTTACAAACACCATTAGAACAAATCATTCTATTCATTAAGAGAATGCAACTATATATCTATCCTAACCACTTTGTTTTTTTTTTTTAAATTTTGTGTGTGTGTGTGTGTGGCCAGCTCAGCCCACCAGGGGGCGGGCTGGCTGGCATGTGGTGCTGGGGGATTGAACCGCGGTCCCTGTGCTTTGCTTAGCTTAGCTTGTTCTAAGTAGGTGCTTTAGACCACTGAGCCATCTCACCAGCCCCCATCCTAACCACTTTGAATACACATATACAAAAGGGACATTCATCGGTATACCTCATTTTTTCTAAGTTCCGTTATTGAATATTATAGGTATGTAAACTCAGCAAAATATTCCAAAAGAGTCCAGTAGCCCATAATAGCATTGGGTCTTCTGTTTAACTGGCAATGTCAGAAATTATTGACCTGAGTCCCCCACAGCTCAACATAACAGCATGGCTTTATTTCCTATATTTCGTCTTCATACTTTTCTTCTGGATGGTTAAGACCAAGGTAAAGCAGGACCTGTGCAACAAGAGTTGTAGCTTTTTGGTCTGAGAAGGTCAGTGAAATCCCCTCAGGATTTATCCTGAGATCCTGTACCTCAGATTGTAGAACCTTTGTCAGTGCAGCCATGTGGATGAGTCACGGCCATTGCTTGGCCAATGTGCTCTCTGTGAAAGCCTGAGAGTGTCTTCTCACCATGTGACTCTCCTTAGGCACACTCTATGTCATCGATCACTTTCCTCTTTGGCCCCATAATCTTCTTGATCAGAAAATTTGGGACACTACCGAGGTACATGACGTTACAGTACAAGTTCTCATATGTCCTGAGTCTTAATTGACCTTAGAAGGTTAGGGCCAAAATGTTGGCTTTCCTTGTAGCCCTCCTTTTTCTCTAATTTTGGTCTGCAAACTTAGGTTGTTAACTATCCAGAAGGAATTTTCTTATAGCATTAGTATGATATTCATCTGGCTTGAAAAATGTAGTTGTTATACAAATATGTGGGTGACCAAAGCCTGATGGAATACCATTAGGTTATAAATTATTGGTATTATTTTGCTGTGCTAATTCTTTTTTGTGCATATACTCCTAGGGGATTTCCTAAGAGGTAATTTTTGTGAACTAAGGTATTTTTGTCATAGGTAAATTCATTAGTAAAATCACTTATCCGTAGGTGTAGGAGCCTATCAGAATAACTTTTGTTAGTAACATTTTTTCAACACGTTATTCTTCATATTTTAGAAAAGGCGGCGACGAATTGACCGCAGCATGATCGGAGAACCGACGAACTTTGTGCACACGGCTCATGTCGGCTCAGGAGACCTGTTCAGTGGAGTGAACTCAGTACGTACGCGGGTGGGGCGTGCACATGGGTACAGGTGGGCAGTGGGCTGGGTGCCAGGCCGGTCGCTCATTTTAACATCGCTCTGCCAGAGGGCTTTGTGGGTGCAGACTAGAAACACCATGGCTGGTCTTTACCTGCGGGTTCTCTCTGGTGCATCCAGCCAGCATGCCATTTACAGGGCACACCGAGTCATGCAGAGGTGACATAGTCACATAGGAGGCCACATGGAGGTGACATGCCAACACCACGCTGTGCAGTGAGAGGCGCTGCGTATCTGGGTCCTGAGCCTGGCACCACAGTGGTGGGCAGTGACAGCTGTGTTCGTCACCTTCCTTTGCTGGGGCAAAATGCCCGACACAGCCTGGAAAGTTTCAATCCATGGTCTGCTGGCTGAGCGACAGAAATGCCATGGCAGAGGGCATGCCAGAGGAAGCTTCCCGCCTCACGGAGTCAGGAAGGGCAGAGCAAGGGCCAGCGACCAGACAGAGTCCCCTGGGTCATACCCCTGACCACCCGGCGTGCGGAGGTGTCGTCTAGCCAAGCAACGTGACAGTCGGCATGAGCTTCTAAGCTACGGCCCTTATTTTATTTTTTTAATGAATTTTATTTTGAAACAGGGTCTTGCTAAGTTGGTCAGGTTGGACTTGATTCTCCTGCTTCAGCCTCCCAGTAGCTGGCATTTCAGGCATGTCATGTCCCTGTTTAGATGCTTTTTATTTCAGGTTTAATACCTCGATTTTTGCAAACATTTTTATGCTTTTTTTTTTTAATGTACTTGCTACAGAGTTTTACTATGCAGCTTAGACTCATAGTGATCCTCCTGTTTTCAGCCTCCCCAGTGCTGGGATTACAGGTGTGTACCACCACGCCCAGTCTTGGTGGCCAGCTCAGTGTGCCAGAGGGGAGGGCTGGCATAGCATTTGGTGCCAGGGATCAAACCCTGGCACCTGTGCTTGCTTAAATAGGCTCTTAGTCCCCTCAGCTATCTTGCTGGCCCTGCCTTTGCTTTGTAAAATAACAATTTTTATCTTACACTATTAGAGTTTTTGTGATTAAGTCTAATGTAAGTTCTCATATACACAGCCCTTTAGGGCAGAGGCAGCAAAAATGTGTCATATGTGGATATGAATAACCAGAAGAAAAGAAAATTCTATTTGCTGTTTTTTGTAGAGGATTTACTAAATTTGAGAGTAGGATTTACATTGACTCAGCTACAAGAAAACCAGGAGGCAGCAAGTCTGGAGACACCCTGCCAGCTGAGGGCTCTTTTGGCTGTGAAGTCTACAGGCCCCTTTCCTCAAGGCAGCAGCTATTATCTAGGTCACCCCTAAAGTGCTCAGCCCTGGAAGTCAGCAAGGCTTTTCTGCATGTGGAATTCTGTGTCTGACTGGCTGGACAGCATTGACACAGACTTAGCCAGAGGTGGACGGAGCAGAGGTGTTTGATGCCCTCCACAGTGGTCCTTGTGCCCTCTGATAGAGGCAGGCAGAGGGCAGCTGTTTCAAAAAGACAATAAATAGATAAAGAAATACTAAATAAAATAAAAATTTATTATCTGGGCATGTGGCGCACTCCTGTCATTCCAGCACTGGATAGGCTGAGACAGGAGGATCATTTCAAGTTCGAGGCCTGTCTGGGCTACAAAGTGAGCTCAAGGCCAGCCGAGCTGCATAGTGAGACCCTGTCTCAAAAAGTCTGGGAGGCGGGGTTGCCAGCCGGGTGTGGGGTGAATGCCTGTGACTGCAGTACTCCGGAGGCTGCGGCAGGAGGCCGGCTGGCCGACCATCAGCGGCCAGCGCGGGGCACTGGGCCACTTGGGAGGCACTGGTTCCGAAATGAGCAGGAGCTAGGGTGCTGGGTAGGTGGGAGAAGGCTTGGTGTCGGCACCCTGCCACGCGCTGTCCTCACCCTAGGCCGCTTCTGTCCTCCCCAAGCGTGGCATCGGTCACTGTGTGGGGCAGAGACTGGTACTGGCGATCAGAGTCGCCTGGTGGCTGCGGTCTTCACTCCAGGTTAACAGAGCAGGTTTACTTGGAGCCTTGAAGAAATAGGGGTATAAATTTTAATTTTTATATTTTTAATTAGTTACTTGAATACTCTGAATGTGGTACTATAATAATACCTTGTTGTATCATAGAGTAAGATGCTCCATCTAAGTAAGATTTTCGGATCAGAAAATACATCCCTGGCTGGGGAGGTGGCTCAGTAGAATAAGCGCTTCCCTGGCAAGCACAAGGGCCTGAGTTCAATCCCCAGTTCTGCCAAAAAAAAAAAAAAAAGAAAAGAAAACACATGTCCGTTGAGGAGCCAGCCTTTCCCCTTCTCAGCTCATATATTGCTGGCCTAACCTGCCTTACTCCAAAAAGAACTGGACATCTTGGTACCTTCTGTAAACATGGTATATGGAGGAGGCCAGTGGGAAGCACTCGTGTGGGGCTTTGTCCTTGTGTTGGGTGGGTGTGTCGTGCTGCCCACGTGGGGCTCTGGGCAGCGGGGAGGCCCAGGCGTGGCCGCCAAGCCTTCCCATGAGGCCTGCCACCTTCAGCTAGCATGTTTCCACCCACATAGGATAGGCGCAGTAATGAAAAGCTGAAGGCACTGCACTTTGCAGACTGTGTGTGTTTGAACAAAGAAAGGAAATGCCCCATTGTCTGCGTATCTGAAATGGCCTGTGAGGAGGCTAGAGGTGTCACCTCCGCCAAGTAGCTCCCCCAGTTCTGTGCATTCGGAGGCGCTGGTCAGCCTGTACCCTGCCACAGAGGCGGGGCTCCATCTCTGGCTGGTCCAGGCTAGCCCACGCCAGTTTTCTTGCTTGAGCCCTTTGTGAGTGATGAAGTGGTCCTTTATATGAAGGGCCCGCAAATTGGGGCACTTGAGATGACAGGACACTAAGCTGAGCTGCTTTGTGTTGTGTTTTGGGATGTCTCGAAGTGTTCCCAAGTGCCTGTCAGTGACAAAACTGACTTTGAGACAGCCTCTTGAGTGGGCTTTCATATGCTGAAGTCGGAATGAGGCCCATGCCTCTCAGGCACTAAACCAGAGTCACAACTGGCGAAAGATCTAAATATTAAAACAGAAGTTATTTAACAGCTAGTGCTGGGCATGGTGGTGCACACCTGTGATCCCCGCGCTGGGGAGGGGGGAGGAGGTAGAAGATACAGGGCAGGCAGCGGGTTCAGGGCCCCAGGAGGTGGTCCAAAGAATCCTCAACTGAAGGACCGGAAAGAATCAGGCCCCCAGAATTCAAAGACCCCATCAAAACGCGGGCATCTGAAATGAACACACTTCTCAGAGGAAGAAACACACGGCCAGTGAATACATGAACAGTGTTCAGCCTTGCTCATTTGGAATGGAAATAGGAACAGCACTGAGAGTCCCTTCCACCCCAGGAGTGGCTGTCATCAGGAAGGCAGCCACTACGAGTGTTGGAGGGGCTGTGGGGACAAAGGAACCCTTCTCACTGTGGGTGGGAGTAGACTGGTGTAGCCACTGTGCGGATCAGTGCGGAGGTTCCTCAAGAAGCTAGGTGGAGGCCCCATTTCACCCGAGGTATGGAGTTAGAATAAACAAGGGTAGGCTGGAGACATTAGAGGTAGGTGGGCGCATCTAGAGACCATACTTAAGAGGTGAGGGGCTCAATCCCCCTCCCCCCACCCCATATTGCCTCCCTGGTGTGAGAAGCTCAAAGAGGAGATGCAAAGTGTCAGACAGGTATTGGGGGAAAGGGAGAAAAGGCAGCTAGACTAGCAAATGAGGGTAGAGGGAAGAAATGGTTGGAAGAAGTCCTTCGCGCTCTCACCCTGTGTAAAGGCCCAGCCCTGCTGGAGGGCCCCTGACGGCGCGCTCCTTGCAGGTGAGCTCCATCCAGAGCCAGATGCAGTCCAAGGGCGGCTACAGCGCGGGGATGGCGGCCGGCTCGCAGGTGCAGCTCGTGGACACCACGGCGGGGTAGCGTCTGGCGTGAGTGAGTGCACGAGGAGGAGGGCCGGGCTTGGCGTGCAGGGGTGGGCAGCGCTGCCCTGAGGGTGGGCTCGGTGGGTCCCACAGGACGGCGGGGCGGGGCGGGGGGGCTCCGGGCCACGGCCGTCCTCTGCGTCCTCTAGTGGGAGGCTGCTGCTTGGAGCATGATTTTAGACTTGATTTCAAAATAAAAAATGCCCTGCCTCTAAGGAGGATAGTGCTGGGTGTGGTGGTGCCTGCCTGTGATCCCGGCACTCGGGGGTTGAGTTAGGAGCACTGCTAGTTTGGGGCTGGCCTGGGATGCGTAGCATGACCCTGTCTCAAAGATAAGTAATTTAGAAAAGCCTAAAAGTGAAAATAACTTGAATTTTTCTTTTGATTTTATAGGTCATCATGAATTTCGATATCTCCTCTGACCACTAGTCTTACCATTTTGTTGTCTTGTGATTGCATTCTTTCAATTTTAATTACAAAAGAAGAAGCGTGAGGACGCATTTCCCTTCCTCAAAACGACCCGGCCGGTCAGACTTGGCCTTCCGCCTTGAGGATGCTGCCGTCGGCGCCCACGCATCCCCCGCAGGCGGGCGGCACAGGGCCAGGCCTGCAGCGTCCAGGCGTCACCAGCGGGGCCTTGCCTTAGCATGCTGTGCTCCGTGACTGCAGCCGCGGCCTGCAGCTCTCCCACCTTGCTCACCTCCTTCCTGCCTCCAGCCCTCCGCCTTACGCTTTCCCTGTTAGGCTGCGACCCCGTCATTTGTTAACTTGGCACCTCTTAGTGACCTGGAAGGTATGTGACCTGCAAGCACAGTCACCCTTTCTTTGTTTGAAACTTGAGCAGAGTAGATGTCTGCATGCTCTAGGAATTGGGTTGGTGGCCTGAGAGGCGGCGTTTCTCTTCTGCCTGGGCTGATGACAGTGCTGCGGTCAGAGCCTGGCTGTGGCCCCAGCCGTGTCCGGGCTCCCAGAGGGACCTAACTCTAGCTTATTTTTAGCTGTCTTGGCTTTTTGGTCTGTTGAACTAGAGTTGCAGTAAGAGAAAAGCTTGCGTGCAGGAGGCCTTCCTTTGTTGTGAATGTTCAGTGTATTTATTTTGAGAGCAAGGACCTGTGGTTGTGAACAGGTGTGGCTGTGTGTGCGTGGCGCGCTGAGGCTCGTCCTGCCCCTTTCTACAGCGGCTTCCTCCGTGAGCCCTTCATTCCTTGTGTACTTGTTTGAATTTCACTGGGCTTCATGTGTAGTATTCTGGTCCAGCTGTCTCTGCCAGCGCGGCGTCGAACTTGAGGCCTGTGCTCCTCGCGGCAGACCCGGCTGCCTCGCTGCCTGTGAGAACGACCTCGGGGTGGCTTTTTATGGTGAGAGGCCTTTGCTCAGGTTCTAAACTGTTCTTTTTCACAAATTTCGTGTATTTCAAATATTTCTGTAAATGTTCGCCTTCATAATAAAGCATAGGGTCAGATTGAGTCAGTAGTTTGTAGTATTAAAACGTCTAAATCCTAATTCAGACCTATCTACATCTGGTAGGATTAACATTTTCATGCAGGAAATGGGGCTTAATGGAAACTTAGTGAGCTACAAGGGATTAGTCGTTGCGTAAAGGAACGATGATAATTTTCTCTTTTGCCTTCATTTATCCTTTTTCCCAGGGAAAATCTTAGTCCCAGGTTCTTGTTAAACAGGTAGCTCAAGAAATGTTTGGTTTATGTAAGTAAAACAGCATTTCTCAATTTGATTTGCCCAGCAGAGCAGGCGCCGGAGGACCCGATGCCCCTAGTCTGC